TGCGTTACTCTTCATACTAGGTATTTAGAAAATTTAGAACCAAACTATGGTCACTGGTCAGTGGTAAAGCGTTGTCCAGAGAAGAAACGCAATACTGAAATATTACATTGATCGTTGATCAGAATATATTATGGTATTGGGCATAACTAAACTATTAGAGAAATGTTCATGATTACAATTTACTCATGGAGGTAGATTATAAATTATACCTAATTTACGATACGAGCTATGACTTATGAGAAAGAATATCTAAATAATTTTAGTCTCATAATAAGRAAACATAAAATATTTTCAACTCTCAATAATTTCGTTTGAAATTTTTTGGATAGTACTCAGTATCGCTCAGCTATATTATAGTCTACAAATAGTACAAACTACAATCAATTATTATCAAATTATTAATAAAGTAAAGTATCTATTAATAATTTAATAATTRGACTATAGATTGTATACTGCAGGCAATGATTTTTATTTTCCATTACATAATATAAAATATTCTTGAAAAGTATAAAATATAAATTAAATGATAAATAATGATGAAAGCGTAGAAAAAATAATAATTTTTTTTTTGAAAAATTTACTTTTAATTAAGAAAGTTATAACCAACAAAACCCTTTAAAACCCGAAAAAATTGAACTTTAAAAATTAGGTTCGGGTTTTGGTTTGGTTATTTAAACATTTGAAAATAGTGGTTTCGGTTAAGTTACGGTTAATAATTAATACAAGGTTCCCGGTTTTATAACCGGTTATTTTCGGTCCGGTTACAGACTTACAGTCCCTGGTCCGTACCACAGATATATAGAAATAAAATATATTATATTATATAATTCGGCGTATTCTGCAAGGTGGATCCACCTTGGTATTGGTTTGGTAATCTGTAAATATTATGATTAAATTAATCATTACGATAATCACAACAACACTGTTGATACTATGTTCAAGCATAAGAGCAATCACTTCTTTTATCCATGATAACATTTTATTTTTAGGTTATGTAACAAACCCATTAAAAACAAACACATTTTTAAAATAATTCCGTGAAGTATGTAAATGTAATTAATAATTATAAAAATTTGAAGTTGTTTCATGTTTGTTTAACTTTATCATCATGAGGGAGATCATCGGCGGTTTTTCAGAATCTGGAAGATATTATGCTGAAATTGGGGTAAACGGCAAGGTTAACGTTTGGGATACGAGTGCTGGTGATTTACGGCATACATATTCGCCAAGTGGACATCTAAACTCATCTGTCACCTGTATTACTTGGGTCCAAACAGATAATGCTGACTTACTTTGTATTGGCACACAAAAGGGTTACATAGAATTTTATAATGTGGCTAGTGGAAGTATACAGTCAAAAATCAATGTTCAATCAAAAGCCATCAAGAGCATTTACCGTTTGGGTCAACATTTATACATTGGCTCAGATGATGGTTATGTCATTAAGTTTGACTTGAAGACTAATAAACTAGAATCAAAAATGAAAGTCGGTAAAATGTGTGCAGTAGCTGTGTTGCCTGACGGAAAAATGTTAACAGCATCCAGAGAAATTAAATTATGGAATTTTCCTTCTGGCGAGTTGGTTCATAAATTCACTGGCCATAAAAATGAAATCCATTCGTTACACATTATAGAAGCTGATAAATGTTATTTATTGAGTTCTGCTAGAGACCGTTTTATTAATATATGGTCTCTCAGTGATCTTAGACCAGATCCATTAGCTTCATTAGTCGCAGAAGACAATATTTCTTCAGTTTATGTACATAATATGCGTAATAACATAACAGTGACAGTAACAACAGAGAGTGGTACATTGCATGTGTTTGAACATGTACTTAATGGTTGTGTTGCACATCCACTTAAACCTCACGGAACCCTTCAAATAGCTGTTGACAATATTAAAGATGAAGAAACTGTTCAAATGCCTATATTATGTAGTAAAATTTATGATTCTGTAGTATATGTAGCTTATGGCACTAGGCCATTTTTGACATTTGAAAATATTAAATTACAAAAATTAAATAAATCTATATTTATTGCCAGACAAGACCCAAGAAAATCCAAATCAGTTGTAGGTAACCATATTATTAATCCAAATATTACAGACTCTAAATGTATTGAATTGAAAAATAATAGATCGTCAAATTTACCACTTGAAACAAGACTTCAAAATATGTCAGAAGAAATCGAAAATACAGTTCAAACCAAAGGTGAAAGTATTGTTCATCTGTTAATTCAAGGTCTTCGTAGCAATGATAAAAGTCTTTTAGAGTCCGCTTTGTTTGTTAAAGATGAACGCACAATTGACAATACTGTTTCACGTTTACCACTACAATCCATTATCATGCTGGTACGTAAGCTAATACGACTATCACAAGACAGAACACTGGTAAGTTCTGTGAGTGCTAAATGGTTATCTGCTGTATTACGTATACACTCATCTCTGTTGTTAGCTAATCCAGATGTTTTAGAAACATTTTTACCATTAGAAAATGTGTTGAGTACAAGATTAAACAATTTTGAACAACTTGGATTATTAGAATTTAAACTAAAAGCTGTAGTAGACAGTCTGAACTTTGACAAACAAGATAAAGAAAAAGAGCAAGATGCTCTTTTGGTATACAACGACTCGGATGATGAAGACAAAAGAACAACTGATGAAGAAGCTTTATTAACATACAATGAATCTGACAGTGAAGATCAAAGTACATCTGATGAAGAAGAAGCAATGGATATAGACTTGAATGGTGATGATCATCCTAGTATATTAAGGTGAACTATATTAAATTATCTCCAAATGTTGTTCTGTATTGTATATTTATACAATTAATACCCATAAAGTGTCCTTATTTGTTTATAACAGAAATATTATGTTTGTTATAATAATTTCACTTAAAAATGTACTATCTTATGTATAAAACATTTTCATACGTCAAGTTGAATAAACATTTTGTAAAAATATATGTTTAATATTTTCTTTATTTTAATATTATTTGTAACTGTTGAAGTTCTATAGAATATGTAAAGGTTTATTGCTTAAATTATACATATTAAATTAAAAACCAACAAAAATTTTGTGAACAGTGATAAATGCTGATCTAATATTTATTACTTTAAACTAGTTTAAACTACAGTAATTTAAAAATGTTAAATGTAGTGTTGTTCTTAGCACTATTCTAAAGGAAAATTTAAAAAAATAATTTTATACTTTTGGAATATTACAGGTTTCAGCGATACCAGCCATAAAAATTTGGCCTTGCTAATGATTACGAGTTATGATGTGTAAATCATAATAATATGGTTTACAGACCTCGTGCTTGGGGTGCAACTAATGATTAATACTAATCACATTCAAAAGTCAATTTAAAATCCTAACTGCTATATCTATGAGTTGTAACAAGAGAAAACTAAATTTCTGAGTCATTGTTCATTTGAGGCTTATTTTTATCTATATCCAGGTGT